GGGTGATGTTGAGCAACAATAAGGAGATGTCTGTGCTTTTTTTTTTTTCCCTAATCTGCACCTCCCTCCAGTGCATTCTTTGTTCTTTATCAGAGAGCCATGTGGCCAGTTCCTGGAGAGAGGGCAGTGGAGCAAAAGGCCTGTTTGTCCAATTAATCAATGAGAACAGTGCAAGACTCATCAGACGTATTAATTGGGGCATGCAGTGGTTTCTGTGCATGGGTCGTCAGCACTGACCGCCCTGCCCTACATCTTCCCATCTGTCCGTCCGCCCACCGTGGAACGTAGCAACTTTTCCTCCTCTATCTCCATGATCCCTCCGGCTCTGTCTCTGGTGGAAGCTGAGATTTTCACACCTATGTCATTTCCTGGAGGAAAAAGGCCTCAGAACCTACCCCAGCATCTTATATGCAGTAGGGGCTGGCCTGTGCATCCTAATTGAGGTGGATTCCCGGTGACATTCGTTAGTCACCACGACACTGGTGTTATAAGCAAAGCAACTCTGGCCAAGGAAACCTGATCTATAATGGTGTGGAGAGAGTATCTGTCTTGAGAGAGAGAGAGAGACACAGTTCACTTAATTAAGAATCAGCTGCTGCGGGGTCAGGTTCACAAAGCCTCTGCCAGGTAAGCTAATTGTAATTGGATGCAGAGAGGAGAAATAAGGAAAAGCTGTCGCTCCCCAAATGAAAAGAATTGAGAGCAAAGCTGAAAAGTATGGAAGCAGGCGAAGGAGGACAGGAGCTGCCCAGGGACTAGGCTGCCCGGGAGAAAGAGCCTCTCTCAGCTCTCATGGCACCGTCTCTGGGAAGACAGAGGGCGAGCCAAGCAGAATCCAAAATTAGGAGTCTGTCTCTGAACCCCAAATTGGCGGGGTGAGTATTCCTGGGAGCCGCAGAGCCTGGACTTGATGCCATCCCCCAACTACAGGTTACTAGCCAGGTGACCTTGGGCACACCAAAGAGCCACTTCCTGAGTACTGACTGCATTATTGGTCATACCGAAGAGATGACGTGTGCTTCATAAGGGCTTTGGGAGAGTCAAGTCGGATCAACATCTGCTTTGTAAAGTCCACTGTGCTATTTGGGTGTAGGTGAATATTTTCGCTTTCAAGCCCAGGCACCCCTTTGCATAACCTCCCGTTTCCCTCGGCTTCATCCCATTCCATCTTAGCGGTGTGTTCGTCTCTCCCTTAGGAATGTCTGTTCTCACCTCCCTTCCTCTTGTCAAAAATTTCTTCCCCAGTCATTTACACTTTAGAGCAACTGAAGTGTTGTCACCTCCTGAAGGAATTTCTGGTGTCCAAGGCGAGCTAGAGAGGCCTTTGAGGGAGAGCTGCCTTCCTGAGTGCCTCTGAAAGCATATTGTGATTTGCCTGGCCTGCTCAGGTGTTAGATTGGCCCTTTCCCACAGCTACCGTATTTCATTAATTTCAGGGCATATTATTTTGTTTGGTTTGGTTTTTACATTTCAGTGCCTCTGATATAAGAATGTATCTTATAATCATCAGTGTGTCATAATTTAATTAGCAATGTTTGGGTTTTTTTAGTGGTTTATCAAATAACAGTGCATCTCACAATCAAGGGTGTTACACAGATGAAGTGCCCCACTATTCTTACAGAAGATAATGTGATTGTAAGCAGGATTCATTAAGGGGTTAAAAAGAAAAGTAGGGCAAGGCAGCAGTTGCTCGGAAATCAGATCAGGAAACAAAGAGATGGAATGTTTCATTTTCTTCCACCGTTCAGCTGCTGAGCCTTACCTGGATATTTGGATTCTGCCCATTGATATCAGCTTTGGAAAGATCTGGGAAGTTTGGCAGGTCAAGGAGAAAAGATCTGGGACCATCTCTTTGCAGGGAAGGGTGCCCAGCCTCTTGCTGGAATCGCTGTCTGGGGAGGGGCTGGTGTGCAGCCTGGTGGTCCAGATGCTCCCCTGGTGCTTCTTTGGAGAAAGGAAAGCTGCTTTCTGGTGTAGAATCACTTTCCACATTGAGGTTATTCTAAAACACAGGAGAAAATGAACAAATAAGTGGGCCGTGATTTAAAAATACCATCCTTAGCGGTCTATTAAATTTGGGAGCAAGGACGATCGCAGTGGCCGGAATTAAGCCAGGACGGTGTTCCCAACTCGTTTTCACTCCCTGTGGTTTAATTTTTCCATATTCAATAGGCCGGAATTCATCAGGAAACCTCCCAGCCGCCACCTGGGAATTTTCTGAGAGTAAATGAGTTATGGGTTATATATTAAACATCCAAGGCATCAACACAAAAGTACTATTTTGAAGGACAGTAGGTTCTCAGAACTGGAATCAAATCACAGCTTCAACCGATTAACTGCTCGGGCTTGAGTTATAACCCTATGGTCCAGAGTTTGTTTTTTTGATGTGGGTCAGGAGCAAAAGATCTGACCAAACCGAGTAAAATACTTGAGCCAAATCATTGATGACATGCATTCATCTATTCATTCATTCATTCATCTTCCTCCCCCCTCCCTCCCTCCAATCAACAAATGCCAACCACATATTAGGCACAGGAGACACAACCGTAAGGAAGGCAGACACGGGCCCTACTCTCTTGGACTGTGCATCTATCTAGTTGAGGGATATGAAAAATGAATATATGGATAAATAAATAAAATCAGATCGGAGAGTGGTGACTGCTAAGAACAACAGAAAGAAGGAAATGATAGAGAGCAGCCAGGGACACCATTAGGTAGGTGGCTTGGGGAAACACCTCTGAGAAGGTGACATCTGACACGAGATCTGAACAAGAGAAGGACGCATCCTGCAAAGGTCTGGGGGAGAACATCCTAGTAGAGGGCATAACAAGTAAGGTGGTCCTGAGCTGGGGATAAACATGGCTCATTTGAGGGACAGAAAGGCGGCCAGCGAGGCTGGTGTGGCACCAAGGAGGGAGGGACAGCATGAGATGAAGATGAAGAGATGGGGGGAGCTGAAAAAAAGTGACAGAAAGGCATTCTAAAAATTTAATGCCTTTATTCTGGAAAGTGCAAGCCTGTGGTTTTTCCCGGCTAGTGAAAATGTCTCTATTTCATCGTCACTTGGGGGAGAATTTTTCCAGTGATTGAGAAGTGTAGAAATTGCTGGACTTCTTTCCCAAACCAGCCCTTCTCCTCGCATCCTCTCTGGACCTTTCGTTGGAGGCTTCCTCCATCCCTTTGGGGATGGCATTTTCATGTTTACTGGTGGAGGGAGATGTGAAGATAGAATTTCACCAACCCTTGGGTCGGTGGTTGATGTTCTTGTTTTTCTTGGGCATGTTTTGGGGTTTGGAGCGTATATTCCAGCACACTGTCTCCACACGCACTCCCCGCCCCCCGCCAGTGCTCTGACCCAGCCAAAGGGTCAGATCTGGTATCAAAACACTCCTGACTCTTGAGTCCCCAAGGTCAAGCCTGGCCTGAGGATGAAACTCATGCAGCAGATAAATATCTTGTTAGAGAGCAAACGTGAGGGAATAGATTTCTCTCTCTCTTTAAACAGAAAGGGGGCAGAGGAATAAACTCATTGGTACAGAAACCAGCTCTGTGGATGTTCCAAGAGCCCACGAGGAGCCCTGGGATAGACGGCATGTCTGCGGCCTTGTCTTTAAAACACGAAGTTGCAGAGGCTTTGCTGGTTGCTCTCAGCATGTTTTTGCTTGCCCTCTCCTTTTGCTCAGGAGATGTGGGTGGAGGCAGTGTCTTTGTTCACCTTTCCAGCCACCTCTCTGCCATGGATTTTGTCTCCTGGCACATCCTCGTAGAGGGAGTTGTCCTGGCTTCCCAAGGCACTGCCCAAGTCAACGGAGGCCAAATGTGTTACGCTGAGATTGAGCCCAATGCATGAAGAGAGGGAGAGAGAGAGGGAGAGAGGGAAAACACATGCTATGTCTTTTCTCAACACAACAGCTTTCTATCACATCCCAAGGGGAGATCACTAAATGTGATTGTTCCCTTGATTTTCTTTCTGGATCCCCAACCCTAAAACTTCCCCAGTAGTGTTAGTGAGGACAGTTGGAGTCTCAAGGACAATTTCTTGCACAGGATTTGGGAATATAAGTCTCAGAAGGGGCCCAGGATTTGCTTGCCAGTTGCTTGAGGGATCCCCTACAAATCCAGTCCTAACTGCGTTGTAATAACTGGGAGTTACTCCTTCATTGGGTTGAAAACGAAGCTCTCAATCTTTCTCCCTGTGATGAAGTGCTCTTCCTCCTACTGAGCATATTTTAGACGAAGAGATAAGCGATGTGTTTTTCTGCTATTTAGCATTTTGCTTAGATAGCTGAAAAAACAAGAATCGTATCAGATTGGTTTCTTGATCTGGCCCTGGAATTTTTCCTGGTAGGCGATACTCCACCACAGAGTGATCCTGGCTCAGCCACGGACCAAGAAAACCCTTAAATGTCTCTGTGGCTCAATGATCCCCCATATAAAACTCAGCAGATTATAGGGAGGATCCTGCACCCTCCCAGCAGGATGGTCAAGATAACTCAGGTTGGGTTCTATCTACACAGGAAAAGAGAAGTATGGAGTTAGGCGATTGGCTGGGCAATTCAGGCCACAAGTGCCTCTGCCGGGAAGAGACTGGGGCTAAAGTATGTTTTGGCTTGAGTTAGGCATGCAGTTGTGGCGTCTGTCCATCTTTTTCCCTGCCT